ATTTGTTCATTTCATAATGATATCTTTAATTCTCTAATTTTGATGAATATTTTTGTAATTTTTGGTAAAAAGTGATATTTTCGACTTCTTGTTGAAAACCGCAAGTCCAATTGCTTTGATATATTATACATATAGGTACTACATGTGGACCTCTCTCAGATTTGTTCATTTTCTAATGATATCTTCTGTTCTTTAATTGCCATGTGCATTGCTAACAGCGGAGCTATCTCAGCCAACAGGCTGCTTGTTTAATTAAATCTAACAGCCAATGGGAGCACATATGCTACAACCTCTGCTTACTTTGGACTAAATGTTTTTTTGTTTTTTTCAGGTGCAGAGCCAGATTTTTTTCTCAGAAAGCAAAGGCACTGGAACTACATGTATTACAAAAACATACCGGTACTATTCACTGCATGTCTGACAATTGTATAAAGTTTCGCTGGTCCTCTTTTATTTACTTTGAGAAGTTCTGTCAACCAAAGCATAAATATGTGTTTTCTCTGTACATAAAATTTCACACGATTTGTTAATATTAATGTATGATAATAAAAACTTGATAATATTCTTCTGGATTTTTGCACTTTATTTGTGTCATTGTCGTATGAGAAGTAATCTTGTCCTTATTAGAGATATTGAAACTAATCCAGGGCCACAAACTAGTTTATCCAAACAGACACAACACTGATCTGATTTGTATACTTCCTTGTCATTTTACCTCTTGTACTGGTTTGGTGCTATCTGGTTTCCTTGCTGAGAATAATGCTGACCTGGATGGAGAGTGCTATAAACTTGAAAATGCCATAGAAATCACGTTTGCCAATTTATGTCCATGCAACTTTAGAATGACAACTAGCGAAGGCAGTGTCATTCATGACTTGTTAATACCCTAATTTGTTTATCTGTACTTTAAAATAGAGCATTCTTGTTTTCTTTAACTTGTTCTCACTTGTCACCGTTCATCCAGAAATAAAAAACTGGATCCGCTATGCTAATTTTGAAGAACATCACTCGTACATTTCAAAAGCCCGAAGTGTTTATGAAAGAGCTGTTGAGTTCTTTGGTGATGTACTTTTGGATGAGAAACTGTTTGTGGCATTTGCAAGGTTTGAAGAGAAACAAAAAGAGGTGAGCTGCTTCTGTAATTGTTCAAAGTTACTGAAAAAAAGCAGTCGTATTATTTAATCAGGTTTTTACATAGGGGATACATGTAAATTCACTACGTTCAATTACCCACCATAGACTCCGGTCAGTCAAAATGACTATTTTGAACTGTAGGCATTAATCAGCGATTCTGCCAATGACGGAGAGATAGAATGTAGGTCAGGGGGAGCCCCATGACCCCAAGATTCTTTTCCCTTACTTCACAAACTATGTGACCGAGGCCATATGGCGGTGCCATTACGGCTGGATATTCACTCTCCTTTTTCTCCGCTTCGATGGGGATGAAGTTTAGTGGCTCTGCCTGCATAGCCTGCTTTTTTCTGTCCAGGTTTCTGGCATGGGTTGCTGCCGCTGTGCGGTAACCGACTTGTAGCTGGTAGGATAAGTTTTCCTTGTCATTTTTACCCATTTTTATCGATTTCCTCTTTGTGTGTAGCATTTTTAACAAAACCCGAGCGACGTAACTTAATCACTTGCTGGTTTTGTTGTCACCTTTTCCAACTGTATTTCGCTTCCCTCATGCATGTCATGTTCATTTTATGCCGTTTTTGTCTCCTCATTTTTTGAGGCGACTGTGCAGTGGTTAAAATCAGAATTTTATCAGCATAGAACCCGCATCCGAAATGCTATTTTTTGCCATGGCTACGTACGGGGTTCAGGGTTTTTGCCTTGAAGGCGTGTGTTTTCACTGTAGTTCTGAGGCCTGAGATGTTTTTTCACAGCAAGGTCGCGCGTCCAGTAAAAATCGGTTAAAGTGAGTTGCGTGTTTGGCATGAGTGCAAAGCCCTCACGCTCGGCTACCGGTACTTCATGTACCGAGACGTCGAGTAGGAGACCCGATGTTAGAGGTACCAATATTTTTTGGTCTCCCCCCACTGATCGGAGGGCATCCTCACAGTCTGTGTTTCCAGGAGGTGGTTTACCCGATTTTACCTGCTACAGCAAGGCTGTGCCCCTGGAGGTCTTTCCTCCTATGGGGCCCGTTGCTGGGTCCCTTTGTGGATCCGACCTCGCACAATGTAGGGTTTGCCTCCACCCATCGCTTGCATTCAAAACATGTCTCTTCCGGGGAACTCCCTGTTCGCAGCTGCTACTCACTCGCTGATTTGGGTGAGGCTGAGGCTAGTTGTACCGGGTCTCATCTGGGACCTCGGGCACTGAATGCCAACGGGGATGCTGGCAGCCAAGCCTCCGATTTCGGGGCAGGGCTTTCGGGTCAGGGCACACGTTGCACCTGCCCCCTACTTTCAGCCAGCCAGGGTTTGTCGCGCAGTAACCCAGAGGGAACCGACCCTGTCATGAGACGCACAGTCAAACACGCTCCCTCTCACATATTTAAGTTGAAGGGAGACAGTTCGCGCACGTTGGATACAGCCGATACCTTGGGCAATCCCTCAGAGTCTTCCATCCGTAACGACTCGGAGGAGGTAATGCTTAAGGCCCCCGGGTGGGGTAAATCTTATGCAACACTTTCTGCTGGACCAAACGCTACCTGGTCGGTGTGGTTTCGGAATCAGGCCCCAAATTGTGGGATGAGACCAAAAGGCCCCCAACCGAATCCCAAGGCTCCTCCCCCAGACCCCGATACCACAAACTTCTGTTTGGCAAACACATTTACTGGTGGGCCACCACACATCTACGTGCGACATTCCCTAGTGTCACCTGGCTCTCTTGGCTGGGGCTACTACTGTGCAACGAGACGCAGTCTTAGACGCGTGTGTTTTCGTCGGCAAACTGAGTCAGGGGGTATGTCCCCACCTCAGTGACGCAGACTGGACATCTTCCACCCTCTTTGTTCGGGAGATGGCAGGTGCAGTCAAGGAGCTTCAGAGTGCAATGAACCAGATGGTTCAGATCAAATCCGCTAGCCAGTTGGCTCTGCCAAAGGTAAACGGAGGGCGCTCCATGCACAGAAAACACAACGGCAGGAGGCAAGCGCTCATACGCTTCTATGGGAGGGAAGAGTAGCAGTGCGCCCCCAGGGAGGAAGGAACCAGGTGGTGGTTCCTCACCCTCCTCAGACGGTCGTCCACCCCAGCAGCGGGGGAAGCATGTTTGACGCTTACCTCTGCGACTGGGGGGACAGGCATGTGTTCGACGAGGTCACAACTTAGTGACTACCACAGGCCTTGGGGAAACTCACCTCATGAGAGAATAGAGCACCCACCCCTCGCAACTGCTGAACCCATGGCCACATATCCCTGTCGTACACAGATTGCGCCAGTGTAGTCCAGTTTGGAGGCAGCGGGTGACCGATCCCTGGACTTTTCCAAGTGGTGACATTCTGTTACGGGATACCGCTTAAATCTCCATCTCCCCCATCAGTGTCTCCCCTATTAGGCACTGCCAGGGGACTCCTGCAAGGCGGAAGCAATCAGACAGGAAGTAGACAGTTTGCTGGAAAAGGGCGCCATACACAAGGTAGATCAGCCGGCATTAAGTCCAGGCTTCTACTTAAATATGTTCGTAGTACCGAATCAACAGGTGACGGGCGTCCAGTTCCGGAACTAGGCAGACTGAATCTGTACGTGCTCCTCGTTCAGCTCTGCATGGAGACGCCATCAGCGTTCTTCTCTCCATCCACTCCATTCTTCTCTCACTTAGCGCTACCACACTTTCTACCCGTAGTTCAAGAGTCCTGCCACGCACAGACAACACAGTGCTGGTCTCCTTCAAGAAGAAAGGGGGGGGGGGGTTCCCCATCGTTGTCAGTCCTATTGGAGCAAATTCTCCTTTTGTGCCTGGAATACAATGTGGAGCTAACTGCACACCACCTTCCAGTGGGTAGCCTCCAGGCTGTTTCGGCTGTGGGACAGTCCAAAGATAGACCGGTTTGCCGCACCCCGGAACGCCAAGCTCCCGACGTACATAACATTCCTGCTGACTCCAGGAGCCTGAACCAGGGTTGCTTTGCTGACCCTGTGAACCCACATAGTTGTGTACGCATTTCCTCCCTTCCCGCTAGTTCACCGGGCACCGGAGAAAACTTTGACAGGGGCACACCTGCATATTGTCATTGGTTGCACCCAATTGGCCAACCAAGGCCTAGTTTCCACTTCTGTTGGAAATGCTAGTCCCAACTGGATGGCGCACTACCAACGAGCTCAGTGGGTATCACTTACACGCATAGAGGCTCTCATTAGACCCGCACATGCGAAAGGTTTATCTGAGCGGGCTGCCAACGTCCTGGCCAGGGCAAACGGGGATTCCACCAACGCTGCCTACATTTCTAGGTTGTGAGCATACACTGATTGGTATAGTGGAAGGGAGATTGATCCATACCATCTCTCTATTGGCCAGGTAGCAGACTCCTTTGTCTACCTGTTTGACGAAGTGGGTTTGTCCTACGCAGCGATCGTTGGCTACAGGTCGGCCTTGTCCCCCACCATTGAAAACGCTTTGGGAATGTCACACGCAACGTAATATTACCGTAATTGGTATAGTACAAGTGTGATGGTTCAAATACCAAAATGGCAACAGTAACAGAAAGACTTCCCTGGCGGAACACAGAGCCAACAGATTAGGTTTCAACTGGTACTGGTATTATTATACTCTGCAAACATCAAGTACAATAACGCAGTAAAACTCCACTACTCCAATAACTAGATACTTAAACTCCAATACAATTCAACGAGATCTCCGATCTGAACTCAGTGCTGAACAACTCCCCTATATATACCCCCACTGTCTATAAATAGACCATTACATCAGCATACATAATGAGTCTGGAAATTACTACAAATTTCTAGAATGTTCCATTACCTTCTATTGCCTCCTACAGTGTTCTATTACCTATTCAACCAGTTTCTAAAAAAAAATATAGAATATTCCACCCAGACACAGTACGGTTCTAGAACATTCTCAGTGACACGGAAGTGGTAAATAAGTCGTATGCGACAGGGAACAAGACTAGCCGATTGTCCTATTATTATTTACTGCTTTCCAGAAGCCGTGACCCCGTACAAGGGAACCGCCCAACTGGGATTTGTTGGTTGTGTTGTCCGCTCTAAGCAGACCGCCCTTTGAGCCACTCCAATCAGCACCACTCAAAATTTTGATATGGAAAATAGTCTTCCTACTGGCTCTCACCACAGGTAGGCCAGAGCTGGGGGCATTGTCCTCATGGACGATGTACCAGCGTTTTGGACAATCAAATTGTGTTGATTGCTGACCCAGCCCGAACGACCACAAGCTTCCAGGTCCCGCTTTTCGGCCTATGCCCTCATGCAGAACTGTTTCGGTCTTCACTTCAAAAGCATGCTACCCCCTGAATTGGGTTTGGGTCTAGCTTTCTCGGGCACACCGAACCCTTACACCGTAGCAGCATTTCGGCTTCTTGCTCTGGGGACAGCACAGGCAAGGTAAGACACCACCCTCTTTGGGTCTTAATTAAGGTGTTGAGTGATTGTTGTAGAGTGTATCATCCCGGACTGGGAAAAGGCTTTCATCATTTTTCCTGTTTGCTCGGAGCACCCGCCACCTATCGGCGTCTGACTCTGCCTACAGTTCAAAATAGTCATTTTGACTGACCAGAGTCTATGGTGGGTATGAACTATTTGAATAGGCGGGTTCAGAGAACCCTCTGCCTAATTCTCAGGGACCCTACAATATTAGATTTACAAATGAAATCAGTTTCACAGCTTTGAAAGGCTTAAAACTTGCACATTGCATTGATCATATTGAAAACATTATAGAGTTTCCTGGCTAATTTGCAGGGGGTTTTTAAAATGTATTTAATTTTCATTCCATTCAGCATGATAGGGTGAGAGCGATATACAAATATGCCTTGGATAAGATCCCTAAGCAGCAAGCTCAAGATTTATTCAAGTTCTACACAATACATGAGAAGAAATACGGTGATCGGGCTGGCATTGAAGATGTGATTGTTAGCAAAAGAAGGTTTCAATATGAAGAGGTAAATTATACCCCCCTCCCCTTCTCTTCTGTTCATGAGTATACTTGATTTTTTTGTATTCTTTTTTCAATTCCTGTGTCTAGTAATTTTGCTCACTAATTTCCTCCAACCATGTATTGGTGAACCTCGCTGTAATTATTTAACTATATCATTTAGGATAGGTTTAGAAATTGGAACGCACTCCACTTACTGCCATATATGCATTTTGGAATGCTGCCGCAAGCCTGATGTTGGTAGTATAACCCATTGACTTTTGTGTAAAGCCATGTGAAATGCAAAGACGCTGTTTATCATCAGCTAAGCGATAATATCGATATGCAACTACAAAATGAAAGCACTATGTACTGTATATTATTCTTTTAAACAACCATTTATTTTAATCTACCAGGAAGTAAAAGCGAATCC